CTCTTTCCTAAATGAGTCTGCAACAGAAATACAAAACCAAAGAGAGATGGGGTGGAGAGGCCCCTGTCCTGTTAGCCAAATGATTAAGACCAGTTGCAACACTAAGTAATGCTGAAGAAAAATACTCCACAGACTTCTAAACCTTTCTCCTGGCAACATGCTCTGACCACTGTCAAAACAAAGTGAAGATACTTCCAGAAGGATCTTTCCTCTTAAGTATGCAAGAAAGCAAGACCTGTATTCATACCACCTCCCTTCTTTATCTGCCATCCAGCTGAATATCTTGCTTCCCAAAGCACCTCAGAAACAAGATATCACAATTCACTGTGACTCTTCCAAACTATCAGTCAGATGTTTCTGAGTAGCAGGCCTATACTGATTCTACTACTTTTTTCCAAGATCTTTGGGGAAACAGGAAGATCAAAAGGAACTGGAAATAATAAAAAGCTCCACTATTCTTACCCTGAAAGACAGATACATCCAGGTCAATTCTGCACTGACCTGCCCTGCAGACAACATGCCTTTGTCTCCCCTGCATCAGTGGAGTCCAGTGGATAACCCTGTGAGGGTTCTGCATCAGGCTCAAGGTCCATAAAGTTACAGGCAACGTAAAATGCACAAAAGGGTGTTTTCATTTCCAAAGTTTGCTGACATTTGACTCCTACCAAGTAAAGATTTTAGTGCAAAAATTAAATATGAATGGAACAAGCTTTGTATCATAAACAGCTATGAATTCAAATGGGACCAGGTGCACTGCTAGTGCTTACCCTGTAACACAGCATGCATACTCACGTGCACAGGTTTTAAATTCTTCTACACTTTTACATCTAATGTGGCTTTCAGTGCTAAACTCAGATGTGCAATCACAGTAAGAACTTGGGAGTGCATATCTCTGAAGCTCAGAGCAATTGCTCACAATTTAAGCCTTCCATCATCGTCGTAAATCTTACTCTTGCTCTTTCTGGGAAAAGGCCTGCAAAGCCAAAACACAAATACTGAGTGACACTGGGTCAAAGAAGAGCTAATGCTCCCACAGCCCTTCATCCCTTGCTTAAACTAATCATTCTCCTAAAGAAGAGCTTGTGCAGGCTAGAGATAACAGATTCTTCTCCACCTTTAAGACCGAGAACCTAAGCAACACCTTCCCTCACAGAGGAGAAAGCTGAAAATAACTTTGGCTTTTTGCAGCATGCTTATCCCATGCAGCCTGTCTTATTTTGAGTAAAAAAACCCTCTATTTTGGTTTTACATACTTTTAGTGGGAAAATGCCCTCCATACAGTTCTTTCAACAATCTATTTGCTTGAATGGCTTGAGCCTGTGGGTTTTTTTTGTGATAAAATTTTCAAAAAAATTTAAAGATATGTCAGGTAAGCTTTGTCTTCCAGACCTTCTAGGAGACAGGCATATTTCAATTGCTACTACAGGCAACCTCTCCTCTTTTTTTTTTTTTGCATGGTTTTTGCATGTTGTCTAACCTACACAAGAATTAGGGTCATTCCACTACAAAGACAGGAGATTCCATCTAGGAAACAGTAACAAGGAAAGAAAAAGCCTCTGGAGAATACAAAGGAATTTTCCTTTGCAAATCCTGTTTAGCTACAGAATGATTTTTAAATTTTTCATGCAGCTTTTGAACAAAAAACCACAGCACGGGAAGCAATCATTTTAAGTTACAAGGCCCTTCCCCTGCCACAGGGCACTGTTAACCTTCTACATAAACACACCAGGTGTACAGTTTGTATTTTCAATTTGTCCTGATGGCTAAGACACCATCTTCTAATTTTTAGCCCTTAATGTAACCACAATCTTTTTTGTATCTGATTATTCTGTTATTATAATCTTGTGATTTCAGTAACTCCCATTTTTTTGTGTTTGCAGCCGGTGTACCCACAGGCAACAAGTGCATTCTCCCAACTTTTCAGTACAAACATGTCAAGCTGGTTTTGCCTCTTTAAGCAGGCTTTCTATTATTCTGATCCTGCCAGTATCTCAGCTTCACACCCATTTTCATTTGAGTTCACAGAGCACAAATGAGCAGTTACAAGTGTAAAACGTAAAGCTACAAAGCTCTCAATTTTGTATACAAAAGCACCAATATTTCATCTCCCTCATGGAAACTCTTTGCCAGCGACTTCCAAGAGTCACATTTACTCTTCTGTGGACTACACAATACTAGTGTTGTTTTGTCAATAACTTTTATTTATCTATAACTATAGATATGTATTTCTGCTTTTTGTCTTACGATCTTTTAATTGGCTACAATGGAAAGGAAAAAAAAAAAAAAGCCAGCAATTAAAACTGAGAAAGACGTTCCAGAAGATTTCCACTGCATACAGACTGGGATAAATAACGTCTGTGATTGCCTCGCATGTCAGTGTGTCTCTCCCCACTCGGAAGCAGCGCCAGCAGCAGCCTAGGCGCTCCTGCAGCACGGCCGCCACCCTGTGGCAGGCAG